TATTATATGTATGTTATGTATGAAGGGCACAAGGGAAAAACTAGCGATGTCAGTTTTTATTTTTTTCTGGGTTATTGTCCAAACATGATGCTTGGCTGGGTCTGCTTTAGTCCATCTAAGTCACATACGGAAAAACAAGCGTTGCCAGTCTCTGTGAGAGTTAGAAAAAATAGCCCACACTGGAAGAACCAGCGATGTCAGGATGTTAACAACGGAAAAACCAGCGATGTTAGGATGTTAACAACGGGAAAACCAGCGATGTCAGGATGTTAACAACGGGAAAACCAGCGATGTCAAGCATACTTTGTTTAGTTGTGTCCCTTTGTGACCAATCAGTGACAATATTTCCGTGAAAAATAGTGAAATGGTATAAGATTAACGCCCCTGTCAACACCGTTAGGTTATTTAAGAGGCGGAACCCCCGAGTTTAACGTCCATCTCCGAAAGGACCGAGCCAAATAGGAAATTCCTGTAAAATGTCTTTCCCAAGGACACAACGTCGGACCGAACTGAGGCTCCGACCCTCGCACTATTATATGCGCTGCTAAATTATCGAGCACCCATTACTGCGGTAACCTTTGATTTTTCGAAGAACTTGGGTTGCCCAAACATCTCAGCAAACAATTTGTACAATCATTCGCTAATATATATCTTCTCTTTTAAATCTACTCTCTAAGTTATGAAACAGTACACATTTGCTGTTACGAGACAATCAGCAAAAAGGGTGGAGACGATGTGGCCAGTATGCCGCTACATTACTTTCTACACATTCTGCCAGTTGAGGTGACTCGTGCTCAGGCTAGAACAAGAACCGGACGGTGGTCTGGTTTCTCTATCACCATGTTGGTGTCCATCACGAAAGGTACGGAAAAGTGAAAATCCCGTTTCCAAAGAGAGGCCACAGCTATCTGGAATGCGAGAGAGACATGGCATTAGTGGATGAGAAGCTCACTGTAGAATGCCAGCCAGTTGGGTGGAACAATAAATTCAAGGAAGCCCCTCGGAAACCCTCGTTGCTCCAGATAGTGGGGATGACACAAGCCGTATTCCAGAATGTGTCAGATAACTTTACCGTACTACCGTGTCTCCTGTCTTATACCCAATCGACTTCTGCTTGAAATCTGCATCTCACATGCCCATTCACAGCTAATGTAGTACAGAGAGAACTGGAATGGTCCGTTTCACACTGCAATTATTATGAAGCCGATGAAAAAGAAGAGCGCTGCAAGACTCCAGCCCTTGAAACGCCTCTGTAAGAGCTCGCTGACCACCAAAGCTGCCAAATATGCAGATATGAAGGTTTTAAGGGTGTTCTGGCCCGACAGCTTTTCTCCGAATTGCCCCATGCTGGAGGACCGAGTGCCACACAAGAGTCTGATGACTCAGAGTCGTCATCCAAAAATGAATACATGTATTAAATTTTTTTAAATAAAAAAAAGATTTTAAATGCAAAGTAAATATTACAAAATGGTGTGCACTTTTTTTGTTTGAATCGACACAATTTATGTCATCCAGGAAGCGTGCTTCGACCCTGCCTTCAGGTGCAATCCAGGCTGAAAAAAAAAATACAACATCCCATCAGAAAGACCGAGAAACGCGATAAAAATTATTTCCCAAACAGGATTAGGACTCGGGTCTCCTGCGTGTGACGACGAATCGCCTTTCTAAGTAGGGCTCTCGTGGTACGGTGTTGGCCTATTATTCAGTGAGTCCCGGGTTCGAAACCAGACAGCGACGGAAAAGTTTCTTCTCTTATTCGATAAAACTAAGAGTAGGCTTCGACCGCCACCCGTGGAAAATTCAAAATCAACTCCTACCAAATTGAAAACGCTGTGTCTCGCGTGCTCATATGGACCCTGTGCAGTTGTGAGCGCCGTAAAACAGTGAAAACCAAAATAAATCAAATCAAATCAAATCAACCCAACCCTCCCCCCCAAGACTCTCGACAAAGATTTAAATAAAGTCTCCCCCATTCGGGCATCAACTCCCCAAATAATTTAATAAACAAGAAAGCACCAAACCACTACACCACCGACGCTGGTCATTGCGGGTGCCTCTGCCCAGCACAACACAACACAATAATTGTAATAAAGTAAGTGTTGACGTGTAAACGGCTGGAGCGAAATCTTTCCAGACAGATGAGCTTGACGACGATAATAAGACGCTACCCTGGAATTGCAAAGTGCTATCTGCTCAGTACGGTACCTAGTTTTGAGAAATTCGACGTTCAAACATTTTGAGTTTCCCGTGTAAAGTTTTTTCGAAAGCAATTCTTTGGATATCTTTGATAATGACTCCGAATAATCTTACGATTTAATAATAATAATAATAATAATAATAATAATAATAATAATAATAATAAAATAATAATAATAATAATAATAATAATAATAATAATAATAATAATAATAGATTGCATTTACATAGCGCTCTATCCCATACATGTACAAGTATAAGCTCTGGACGCTTTACACCAATCACATAATCATTCACACAAGAAAAAATATTTCACTGAGTGAAACAAGAACAACCAGTTCAACCACAAAAAGAAGAAATTTCTCAACCATACATTAACTATATTATACACGAAAGGACAGCAGTTTAATTTCATTTTTTTTTAGTTTCTGACCCCATTGTTTTTTTAGTACATGTAGAGGTTTTACGGTGCTCGCAATTGCATGAGGTCATATTATGAGCGCCAGAAGATTAGAGGTGTTACAAGAGAGTAACAAACATAAAAAGAAGGAGGGCAGATAAGGACGATAGATGTTTGATAGGAAAGAAGAAACAGCAAACCACACGTTTCTGACCTCAGTCATGGTCTAAGTGTGTACCATCTAGAACGCTTAGATCATAAAGTGACAAAACAACCCTTGTTAAACCTAAAATAAATTACAAATCATATGGCCAACGCTCTTTTTCGTCCACTTGTTTGGAAAAGGCTTCCAACAACTATCAGAAAAGCAGAAAAATCTAGAAATTTTTTAGAAGAAACTAAAGGCATTTCTATTTTCATCATATTTCGATTAGACAGAATCCATCCAAGCTGTAGATCGTCGTGAGTTTGTAGGTGCGTTACGTACGTGTGTATGTATCTGTGTATGTGTGATGCGTGCGTGCGTGAATGTGTGTGTGCACGCGTATGTAATACTATGTGCCTTTAAAACTGATTTGTAAATCC